GTTTCTGGTTCCTCTCTTGAGATGCATGAGAGCACCAGCAGAGGTTTGGATGTGGAACCCCTACTGCAGTTTAGCACAGCTCGAATCTGGACTCCTTCAGACTTCTCACCACCTATTGACAACATGAACCATGAACCTACTGCAGATGTTCTGCATTGATCAGTCAAAAACCATTGAGTATGATGTGTCATTGTACTACACTACAAAAAAGGATGTGTTATTTTACCTCTCTCAGGCTCTGCATTGGCAACATAGATGAACCCATCCACCACTTGGCACACCTGCTGAACCTGAGGAGCAGGAACGCACACTGGGTCCCCTGAGTCGTCATTTCCTTCAAAGGTAAAGAGTTTATTGCTGATGCTCTCCTGTTGCACTCTGGCTCTTTCTCTCTCTGCCCTACAGACACAAAAACACAAAGATTAATAACTGCAAAAAGGATGAGAAACAACTGTGACTCATACAGCAACAAACAAAGTGCTCACCTGTTGGTTGAATACAGAGTGAGGATGTTAAATTTGTGTTGGTTATTGAACATGTAACTTATCCCCGAGCCAATACCTGAAATAAACAAAGGTTTACGTACGTTTGTTTGTATTCTTTGGATAGATAAGCTGTGTGTATGTAGTGAGCTAGTGCCATCTAGTGGTAGACAATACACATAGCAAGTAAACTTATCTGTTGATTAATTCTGTGATTAAAATGCACTGATGTAATTTCTGTAACACATCATTATTACACATTGCCTTTAAAATAATCACATTTTATCTCATTTTATCTTTTATCTAAAGGACAAACTATAATTTACAATTGATTAAAAGGGAAAATCTGCCACTATATTATGCATCATGATGAGAAAAATACCATGAGAAGCTTATCCCTTAGATCAGTGTTATCTTACCATTTATCTGTCTGTGTGGAGTGCCTGACACAGGAAGTATATCTGGAGCATGCATAAGCCTTGTGACTAAAGAGACATCCAGCTGCTCCATGCCAGGACCAAACATGGCATAACGCGGTTCAGACGAGGGTACCAGGGACTGAAAAAATGAGGTCACCACCTCATATGCTGGTCGTGTAGGAAGCCACTGCTGTCTGGAGAATGGGCAACCTTTCAGGTATCTGTTGACACACAAGGTTTGCTCAGAAATTTTTCCAGGAAACTGACGGTAATGCAGGATAACAGGGGGATACTCACTCTGACATGTAGTCAAATTTTAGTTTTATTCCTTCATTTCCCTCTTCTCTATCATCCAGGCTCTCGTCTTCACTTATTAGCGGTGCATCCAGCAAGTCTGGATGGGGTATGGTCACATGATCAATGGAGGGCCAGTGTGGCATGTCCCGCAATAGGAAGTATCTCCACAGTAATGGATCTCTAACCATGGCCCTCCAGTAACGACTTGTGGCTCCAAGGTGGCAGAGATCCGCAGGAGACAGGAAGGTCATGATCAGAAACTGTACATCCACCTTTGGGAGGAATGGCGGAGCACAATTATTTTGATTTTCCAAGATCAACAATAAATATTTCTAGATTAACCTCCTAGGACCTGGTGTCCACATATGTGGACATCACATTTTGGGTTATTTAGACCAAAATACTCAATTGTGCTCAACAAGGGCCTGATATCCACTTAGGAGGACATTATACTGCTACTGTTCTATCAAAATTTTAAACAAATATCCTCATGTGGCTCTTAATTTTCTTAAAAACAAAAATAAGGTAAAAAGAAAAAAAAAATCTGGTAATTCTTTGTTTTTACATTCATCGGGCCCCAATATCTGCCCAATATCTGCCCAAATATCAAAGTGAAATTACAAATGCATGCCGTGCAAGAGTTCGGGTCTTAGGAGGTTAAAATTCCTAGTTAAACCAATTGTGTGTATTTGGTTAAGAAGTAGGAAAAATACAGATTGGAAGGCGATAATGGACAATCACTAATACAAGCAATTCTATAATCAGCTGATATACTTCAAAGATAAGTCAAAGGAAGTCATAAAGTATGGCAGTGAAAACTTAAATAACCACATTTCCACTAAGGTGTTGCAGCTCAAGCTAAAGTTAATTATTCAGTTACCAGTAGTTTAGTGCTTTTGCGGTAACCAACATAACTGAGGAGGACATA